CATTAGACATTTGTTTCAAACACTAAGACTTGACGTGAACTGAGCCTTAAATATATGTGTAAAACATATTTGCACTGAAATTAATGACATGTTTTTAATTCAGTGTTCATTCAAAAAACACTTTTATTTGACGTAATCACCAATTCTTGGTATTAATGTGAATATGAGTTCACGATTTGTGTCACAGAATATCGCAGTTTATTTTTTTAATATTATTTTTATATTTTATTGCCATTTGGTCTCATATTTGAATTTATAAATAAAATATTGTTTTAATTTTTTTATTTTCAAATTAAAGAAAAAGTTGTTTTTTGAGCGTTTTTTTCAGAATTATAGTTTGGATTGAATGCAAACCTTAGGTATAATGTGTTAGACCTCTGGCACTAATGGCATGAATGTTGAATCTCAAAGCATGAGGACCTCAGAGGTTAGTGACCTTCGAGAGGGTATCAAATTAGAGATCATTTGGGCATATCTTGGGTCCCGAATACAGCCAATCAACAAAATACTCTCAATTTTAAAATGATTTATTTTTTGGCCAAAAGTTTTGTCCATTAATTGTAATTACAATACAGATAGTAGTGATGTGTTTCTGAAGAATAGAGTCAAAAGCATTTAAATTGCAAGTCATATGCATTACATGTACTTCTAATGCCATGATTGGGAACTGTATTCTTGGTGAGGAAGGCCCATGAGATCTAATGAGAGCCACAAAAGCATTGTATTTAAATGTGACTCAATTATTCTGATTATAAGCGTAATTGTTTCGGGAGTTTCCGGTCTCAACAAACTCTTATAACATACGGAATATTAATAATTTTCATATCAAACACAAAATATATGCCGAAAGAGACTCCAAATGTGATTCCCTTATCCTGTTTTGAGACTTACATTCAAAGGATCTTTGAAATAAAATCCTTTTCCTTTAATTTATTTTCTGAGCTCTTATTTTGAACTCAATTTGAATTTATTTAATATTAATTAAAATTAAAATTCTGATTATTTGGTAAAAACTACTGAATAGTTTTACTGCAATTTAATAAACGCTAGAATTTTATTCAATTATTTGATTATACTGTATGATTAAATCGTGTGAATAAGAGTTAGTGTCTGGAACTGCTTTCGAGTTAATAAACGTTTAAATCAAGTTTTAATAGAAAATTCATTTCATTACGGCTTATGGTAACCGTTAAACATATTTAACAGTATTTGTTATTTAATTTATTTATTTCTACTATAAGTTCCGTAACTAATAAATCAAAAATGATTCACTCTTCAAATGGATTGATATGTTTCCAAAATGTGTTGTGTTTTCGTGGAAATTCAAAAACTATTTGATCCGTTGAACTATTTTTTGTCAACATTTAGACTAACATTAGTTTCGGGAGCGACTGACTGCTGCCAGACTTGTGAAGTATTTCAAACAAAACAAGAATAAAATAAAATTTTCTTTAATTCTATAAAATTCCTTAAATTCAATACTTTTTTATAATCTTATGAAACTTTTTTCTTAAATTTAATTTTATAGAATCGATGCTTTGCTTATAAATGATAACCAATGAGTGACCTCTTTCTCCGGCGTTTAGTCTGCAAAATGCACTTCAAATTTAAAACAACTATTTTCAAGATATGTTTGGATACATGTTTACGAATATTTTCCTCGAGTGTAGACCGTCTGAAAGACTACTAAACAAATGAATTTCAAACAACTAATGTTAATCGACAACACATATCGATCAACAATTAAATTATATTCTATCAAAACCTCCCAATAGTTAGAGTAGTCTTTAATTTAACACTATTTCCTCTAATATTCAAAGAGAAAATGTATGAAAATTAAAACTTTTATTATACTCTTATAAGATTTGAGTTAATATTAGACTTTAGATGACCTGAAATGTCTGCATTGAGAAGACTGGCGACTGGCGCTATACCATCGGTCCATTTGAACTGATTTCTTGATAATTATATAAATAAATAGTGAAGTAGTCTTTGATTACCAATTATTGATTAGTTTGTGTACAGTATGTGAATAGAGGGCACAAATGAATGGTAAATTCATTTTCTCACCAATACTAAGCAAATTCTACTACTTTTCTTCATAAAATATATTTGTTTTAAATTATATTCAAATTATATGCAGTATTCTGCAAATTCTCTAAATAATGATCTTGTGTTCAATTTTCTCCGCCTTTTCTTTTTTAGACATGTCTTTCAGTCATTCATTGATTGACTATAAATCAGTTAAACATCAATTGGTTTGTATGTTATTTAAGTTTGAATTTCATAAATAAGAAGATATTTTTGGTAAATAAGATTTCGACGAATAATGTATCCTGTTTATAGCCTACAACACTGTAAGCTTTATTATAAACCCAATAAATTGATCATTAATTGGTTTACGTCTGAAATTTTTTAATCAATTTATTAATTGGAAGTTTAAGTTCTCATTATATTAGTTCTTATAATTACTTATAATTAAGAATTTGTTGGAAATATAAAAAATATTTTAACATAATACATTGTATATTTAATATTTTTGATATAAATTAGTCCATTTATTAGAAATAACTACAGTATAAGGGAATTAATTGTATTGATTAGTAAACTTGAAATTATAGCCAAATTATTTTTCGGCTCATTATTGGTTCGGTCACATCCGTTACATCCGTTTCGCATTAGACACACAGGTATTCAAGGTTTGAGTTTCCAGTTTTTGCCAAAAGAAAGTCAATTTTCTTAGCTTTGAAAGCATTTGTGAATTTTGTTTGCTTCAATCGACATTTCCCTATCTCTCTGGCCTTAACGAAAGCACAGTATAGCCAACCCTTTAAAGACATTTAAATCTGTTTTCATTTTTTACTCATTAGATTGTATTCAGTATTGAAGTCGAGTTTAGTTTCGTATAAGTGTTGAGTGTTTTTGATTAAATTCAGTCAAACGTGAATTCATTGTCTCAGACCTTATGTCTGCGTTTGGAAAGCATTTAGAAAATTATTAAACAATTCAAGTATTGATTAAATTATCGTTGAGTTAAAATGGTTGAGTTGTGAACATATTCGGCAAACTAATGTCTAAGTCTAACCTTTTTTGCTTTGACTGACTTCTCCCTGCATTTATGTCTAACGTTTCAAACGTCTCTCTCCTCTATCCTCTACTCCAGTCCTAATACAGCCCTAACTCTCAACTCCTCGTAAGCTTAAGGCGATCGCAACATAGCTATGGAAACAGAAATACAAAAAAATGTTTGCATTTTTACATTCAGTTCACTTGAATCCATAAAAACACAACTGCTTTTAATTTCCAACGAATTAAATCCACAATTAATGTATGAATTGAATTGTTTTTTACAAAAAATTGTGAAAAACCTGAAGAACTAAATACAAAATAAATGAGTTTCTATTAGTCATTAGAGTGTGTGTTGGAGTGTAGGGTAGAGTGGAGTGGGATTTCGCCATTGCTATCATCAATGGTAGTAATGGTAGGAATGGTAGTATTGAGCCCCGAATCGACCTGACCTTAAAGCGAATCAAATGAAAGCACAGCCACTAATACCACACCCAATGAACGCTCGGAACTCTACTCCAAAGACTTTCTATCAAACCAAAGGCCTTAACTTAGCTGTACTTCAACTCAACGTGCAGAATTACAGATCAACGAAAACCTAATATTGCTTTCAGTCCTCTATTCCTCAGCCAGTTCTCAACCAATTTTCAAACACCACTTCAATGGTTACCATTATTTGCACATTTTTGAGACCAATTTTCAGACCTATCAGCCATTAGAATATCATCAGAAAAATATCTAATGATAAATATATTAATTATCTGCACAATAGCCACAAATATATTCAATATCGCAATGAATCGCATGTTTCGTTATAAACATGAATACAAAGTATAGTTAACTTTCTTTATATTCAACGACAAAATATTATTATTAATCCGTAGTTAAGATTAAATGCTTTAGCATTGAGAACATCACAGATTGTATGAGTGTTTCACGCAAATCATTACTTTCTCTAAACTTTTCATTCAATTTCCAACTCTTCTTAACCGTATATTTCGTATATTTCTATCACTTTTCCCATTATAATGAACATGAAAATTGAATTTCTCTATTTTTGCTAACTTACATTTGATTTTATGCTATGATTTCTAATTAAAAAACGTATTATTATTTTATTGAATGAAAATAATTTTCTCAAACAAAAAGTGATTAAAAATGAGATATTAGTGAATGTAATGAAAAAAGTGTAGAAAGAATTGAATAGTTATGGAAAGAATGGAAATTCAGTATTAGAGCTGATTATTGCAGTTTCAAACCCAGCCATACACTCAACTATTTGAATGCATAGCAATGGCATAGTTTTGTAGCATTGAATCGTCATTCACTGGAGTGAGTGGTCTCTCCCAACATACAGACAACGGTTGCCTACCATTCCCTCCGATCTATGGACACATTTCCATCTAACCTTACATAGGCATAGATCCCTCCATTCTTTCTCATTATAACCTATGCTTTTAAACTCCAGTTATCATTGTTTAGTTAATCTTAATACAGATACCAAATTAATCTCTGTGCAAACAACTGACCCATTATTATACATGTATGAAAATATCATATCAAGTATTTATAGCTATTCATTGAGATTAATCAACAATTTAAACTATAGTATTACTGTTAGATAGTCTAATAACTGTACTGACAATCAGTGAATTTATATTATAATGTATGGCCAGTCATTCATTGAAACAATTACTGTGTAATAGTGTACATAAGTGTGAGATATGTGTGAAAGATTGAAATATTGAGAAGTCACAGAAATAGAGGATTAATTGGTAGAAGTGTATTGAATGGTAAGGGTGTCCCTAATACTGTAGTGATGGTGTGCATACTGGTGCTGGTGAGGGCCTGTATGGCTTGTGCTTGGCATTAGTATAGCTGAAAGTCTGGCTGAATGTGAAAGCAATGCCAAACTGTTTGCAATAGCAGTTTGCATGCCCTTGGAGCTGAACGCCCAATACTACAGTCTGAGCACTGGTAGATTGGCAGTGGTATTGGCACTGGTAGATTGGCACTGGTAGTACTGGCTGTACGGCTGTAACAGTGAGTTTGTTAGGCAGTGAGTGAGAGCCAGCATAGAAAGCACTCGCACTCTGTCTCTCTATTCAATACACAACTGCTATAGACTTGGAGTGGAGTATAGCTTATATGTGAGACATTTTATGGCATTTCTGTGAAAGTCTACGACAAAGAGATATCCATTGAGTTCATTGTTGTGCCATTCACTGCATACATCGACGCCATCGGACTATCTGTCGGTCATCGGTGGTCAACGGCGAACCATAACCAACAAATGTCTACATAATTGCATTGACTTAGCATTACGTATGAAACACAACAGCTATCACTCGTATTCACAAAACTGAAAGTAAGTCTCGTTTTGTTTTCAAACATTATAATTATCTCGAGCTTTATATTAAATGCTATTTTTTGAGCGCTTAGTTTTGAATCATTTATTAGTGATTAGCGCACCATTCATATCAATCCATGACCACCCTGGTCCATTTATGTGCACCTATATGACCAAGCTATGTTTTCAGCGATAGTTGCGGCAAAAATGAGTGTTAGCTTTGTGGCGATTAAAGGGTTAGATATTTATTAGACGTGAAATGAAAAGTTTGTTTAATTATTCAAATTTGGGCAAAATTTCCTTAATTTAAACTCAAATAATAAAAAGTCAAACAAAAAGGAAATATTTTCTCCAAAAGCCTTATTTTCGTGAAATACTTTTCCAGCGATTTATATGATTTTTATATTGAATTCACATTTCTCTCTATATTAGAAATATATATCAAAATAGATATTCATTTCCGACATATCTGTTAGTAACCGATAGTTAAGTATTGAATAAACAGTTAAAATGAGTATAAATTGAAACGCATTTCGATATCAAATGCATTGAAAAACAACGAAAACTTTTCTCTTAAGACAAGGTTTTGACCAAAAATTATTGATTTTCCCGTAATTTAAACCCATTTTTGCGTAACTCATCGATGAATGCAATTGTTATGCAATTAATAGACGTAATCATAATGTGTTAGACTTTTGGCAACATTTTCTCATTCATTCACTACATTCACGTTAATTGTATTGATTTCATGGTTTAGTCGAGACTATGGTTTTACAACACTCTCAACACTTACAACACTCTCCCAATCACTTCCAACACATCCAACACTCCAATGATAATATCGGAAGAAAGGTTAGTCTCATTGTCTCCATTCAGTCGGTGTTTAGCAGCCATTGGTGGCAATGGTTTGCCAAACCGATTGAATATCATTGAAATAGTGTCCAAAATACTGAAGTATTGATCCACTGATTGATATATAGAGTGAGAGCCCGAGTAGGAAGAGAAGGCGTACTTCGATGAACACTCAGACAGACAGTCCTTCCCCTAACTGGGGGCTGGGATTTAACGGCCATCTCATTGATCAGAGTTCTGACCGAAACCTCCGCAGCCGAAGCCGTAACTCTCAGACTCCAAACCCTCGGCGCCCTATAAACCCAATGGTGGCCAACAGTGGGCACATCCCGTCCCCAAACGGCGACCGCTATAATGCGAGTCGTCTTCGGCGCAGTCCTTCCGGTCGCCGCTGCTGTCTGTATGCGCGCACTTCGCCACCAATTATCCAAAACATTCAATCAAATCAAAACACTTGTCAGTCAAGTATTGGTGGTTTCGCTGGTCTGATGGGGTCGGCGCCCATACCACCGACGTATCGGTTCGATGACTCCGAATCTCTGCCCAACAGTCATCACAACCAAAGCCACCATCAAAGCCATCAAAACAATCACCGAAACGCTCACATAAACCATCAAAATAGTCCGCAACCGACTCAGGCCTCCAATCACACGAATATATCGAATGCAGTTTATGCACAACTTCTGAATGCGAGTCATCCACATCACCACAATCATCACCACAACCATCACAACCATCCAATTGATTCTCATTCCGGATCTCATTCATATCGCGGCTCGCATATGACGGCCAACCCTCACAACACACCTCACAATCCGAATATTGCCTCCCAATCAGTCTGTATGTGTTGTCTCCATCAGTTGCGCTTAGCATCGCCTCAGGTCTGTCCCATCGCCCACCACCCCTTCCACCACTCTGTACTCATTGTTTCGTTTCCCATTCTTCAGGTGTCCCCTACAGGTAATGGTCAGGCATTCGCCTCCCTTTTCGGGGCTCCGGGTGCGCGACAATACAACTTAGCACAAGCGCCACCCCTACAGAACTTCCCGTTGGGTTTGGCCAACACTTACCGCCGGACCGGGTCTGGCGCTCAGCTCAATGAGCCGACCCTTATGCCAGACTTGGACTCTTCCCGCATTCGCGCCTACAGTCACGCCAATCACCCGAACCTACCTCTCAATTTGGCGACACTAGCGGCGGCTGCATCGCAACAGTACCAACAGCAGCAACACCCGCATCACTCGCACCCACATCTGGGCTCATCCGGATCGCACACTTCGCAATACATTCAGCCCACGTCACCACTGCATCACATCTCCATCCCAGGGGTGACCAACTTTATGCACGTCGAGAGCCAACAACTCAATGACTACCTATGCATACAAAGTCCTCGCCTTCTGGCCAGACGTGGTAACCATCGGCGCTCTCAGCGCTCGCATTCGTTTAACGCACCACAACCGGCACCTCCACCGCCCTATCAGAACATAATGCCAGTCCCACCGACCACTTCGCCTCCAGTGTCTAATCAAAGTTTCCCGACAATGTTTCACGTGTTGGCCGCCATGTTCTCGAACCCACAGCACCAGCACTTGCAGGCGGCCTCCTTTGGTGTCGCAGACTTTGTCACTAATCCGGAATCACCCGAAGCCGAGAACTACGAGGCATTACTGAGTTTAGCCGAACGACTGGGTGAGGCCAAGCCCAGGGGGTTAGCTCGCAGTGACATCGAGCAGTTGCCGTCGTATCGCTACAAACCAGAGAACGCTCACGAGTCGGATCAGACCACGTGTGTGGTGTGTATGTGTGACTTTGAAGCCAAACAAAACCTCAGAGTTCTTCCCTGCGCTCATGAATTCCACGTCCGATGTGTCGACAAATGGCTGAAGGTTTGTCTTGTCTTCTCATCCATGTCTGCCATTCACTCAATGAACTGACACTTTGTTTCCTTTGCAGACCAACAGGACGTGTCCCATATGTAGGGGCGACGCCTCGCTTAATGATCACGAATCCGATTGATCTGATTTGAGTGCCATTTAATACAATTTAATGCAAGTTCTCATCACATAATCACAACTGAATAATTGAAACAAAACTTATTTTTAATGTACAATAATTGATGTAATATTTACTGCAGTTCTGAATGTTAATTGTATGGATAGTAACCCCACATAAGTATTTGTAATAACCATTTGGACCTCAGTTTTCATTTTCATAGAGTCCTAATCCCAGTGACAAATACTTCTTTTAATTCCTCATTTCTTTTCCAAATGTTTTTTATTTTATAATTAAATTTTCAGTTAAAAGCTTTTGTTAAAAGGAGTAAATATTGTGATTTTAAAGCCTTATTATTGAAACCATGTTTTGGTCTATAATGAGAGCGTTTCATAAATATTCATTCATTTTAATGCGAGCTTTTGTTTTATAGTTAACGCCAAATAAGACAATAGATGTTAAGCCATCATTGAATGATCAGAACTTTTGGATTGATTTTTATTTGTTTTAATTTGTAAATATAGACAGTTTTGAACTTATTTCAGATCTCATAACAATTTTTGCCTCAAAACCAATTGTTATTTTGCTATTATATTGTTATTTATTAATGTATATTTGACCGCTTGGTCTGAGACTAAACCCAGTGGTCTGGCAATTGACTGATAATAAGCGAGCATTTATTCATAGTATTGATACATATTTGAATGGCTCACAAGAAATGCCCAAAAAGCAGATCCTAACAAATAACCAATGGGTTTGTGGCTCAGACCATAATCGGTATAAGAAATTGAGTTAACTTTTGATGATTTACTTTCGATGACACGATTGTGAAACACATGAGTAATCTGAGGGCGTTTTACCCCATTATTTACCTGTATTTCTCGCATTCAGTGCTATCTCTTACTCTCAATTCAAGCCATACTCCAAATGTCCTCTTTTTAATTGCTCTCAACAATAGTGTGTTTGTTATGCAATACTTTACTGTACTTTCATTTAGTGCTCAAACGACTTACTATTTTATATAATATATTATGGGAACAAAGTTATCGCAATTTATCAACAATTGCTGTAATTAGGCGATAGTAGAGTTTAGACAATCAAAAATGGGGTTTATTTCAATTGAATTACTCTAATGTTTAATAAGTACAGTATTAATATAAAAATGAATTTAATATAAATCTAAATGCAAATCAAACCTAAATTTATTTTCTACTCATCAGATCGTGTCATTGAAATAAATCTTGAATAATATTCATATAAATTATTTTATTTATTATTGAATATTATTTATTCCTATTAATTAATTGATTATTACGATTATTATTGATTATTATTATTGATTATTATTATTATTACGATTATTTGTAACTTTCATTTAACTCTGAAATAGTTAATGTTGAATATGATTGACAGCAATACCGTTGCAGTACTAGTACTATAACCGTAAGCAATACCTAATGGTTTGAATGGATGTACTGATGATAAACTGATGTATTGAACACCGGTTCGGATTAATTTGTTGCAAACAATTAGTACTAATTGTCTATAAGTATGAGCTCTTCCTAACAAAGCTGTCGATGCAATTGATGTTGCATTTGATTCATTACTGTTATTACAATTATGTTTAGCTCTTCCTATAATCTTGAGGTGCAATCAATCCATTAATCGATAATATAATCTGACATTTAGTTTAATGTAATATAACAAACAAATGCAGTAATGATTGAAAATATTTTATTCAATTCTCTATTTTTAATTAATTAATCATTTAATGAACAAAAAAGCACTTTTTTATTGAAAGATACAAATTGATTTATCGAGACAATAAAATTGTCGGTAGAAATGATCATAAAATTAGTTTTGAAAACAATATTACAAATATTTGTATGACTTCTCAAAAAGTAAAGAATGTACGAAATAATGACATTAAATGTAATATTATATATCAATACAGTATATGATGTGATAATGCCTTAAATAAAGATAAATAATAAACTGATGGACAAAACCGTTCACTAATTATATTGACGTCTATATCGAGTCGAAGGACGTGTCGGACAGGAAGTCTGAGAGATCGATGTCTTGGTTTTGCTTGACTTCCTGCGGGTCGAACTCGTGAAGACGTTTACGCCATAACTTGATTTGTTGATCCCATGAGCGGCGGCTATACTTCACGAACTTCTCGGGAGTGATGGGGTCCTCACTCTTGCGCGCATTCTTCGGGGTCTCCTCCGTGTACTTCTGGTATCCGATGGTATTCTTTCCGTAATCTATTTGCTTCTGTCGCCGACGGACGACCGACAGATCCGTCTCGTACTCGACGGACGAGTCGAACGGTCTGTTCGCCGAATACTTGACTCTTTTGTTCTGCGATTGTGTACTGAATATACTTCTGCGGACACGACTAGTCTTCGGGGTTCTGAACTCAAACGACTTGTTCTCTTCGCTCACCTCTTCGCGCACTTTCTTCGGCGAAGACTTCGGAGAATTGAAGATATCGTACAATTGGTCCGCATTTGTCAAGCTTTTCGTCAAACACTTGGGCGTTGAGCTGATGGGCGCCGAAGTGGAGGCCAAGTCTTCGCTGCAGATCTCACTGACGCCGAGACCTGAGTCTAGCACTGAGTTCGTCGACTCCAGACATTCACTCATATTCTCGTCGTCCGCGTCCTCACTGACCACCACTTCCTTCTTCGCGTCCAACGGATGGTTCTCCACGTCTTCGGCCATAGCGTCGATCACCTCTTGTGGGCCTTCAATAGTGTCTCCAATGGACACCTTCTGGCCTAACATGCGGTCAAACAGATCAGACCACTGCTGCTCCGAGTCTTCGTCCGAATCGCACAGTTCTGCCCAATCGATGGCAAACTTCTTCTTCTTCTGCTGCACGACATCATCGGTTGTCATCCGCTTTGCACTCATTGTGTGATCACTGGTTGTCTTACAGGCGATGAGATTCACTTGAATGGCAGTCACTGTACAGGCAATCAGTGGTCAAAGTGGCGATTATGTGATCACTATTGCCTTCACAATGACCTCGAAGTGCAATAAAATGTCAAAATATGAGTAAAAGTTAATTAAAAGACAACTAAAAAGCGATGAAATGGAGTGAAAGTGAATGAAAAACAATTAAAATGCAGACAATTGTGTGAATAATGAATGCATTGAGCGGTCAATGGTTTGGCGCCAATGCCTCCACTCTCTCATCCAATCACTGCTTGCCTTTCATTGTAAACACATTCGCCTCGAGTTTCCAATTGAGCGCCAAATTGTCTCCAATTGGGTGACCACTCGCTCTCAAAGGCGTTTACATTGGTTTCCATTACTGTAATGCTGTAAAGAGTCGTTCATAAAGTGTGTGCACAACAGGCCATCCCTACTATAAACAAGAGGGTGTTTGCAGTGCGGACTCATGTGCGGGGAGTGGGTGTGCGTGCTTTGGTGCGCACGTAATACATGTAATGTGGGGTAATGTGTGGTAATGTGTACGGAGCCTATGAGAGACCGCCTCAATGCCGGCCATTACGGCAATGCATTGCTGTGTGTGTTGTATGTGTGCCGCGCCCTAAGCCTAAGCATAGGCTAACAGACACTGCAGCTATCAGTGCCATCACTGACCACTCATTTCTCTATTTATTGTGTTTTGGACTCTATTTTTAGATTACATTCTCTTTACTAATAATAATCATTCGATTCAATCATTCGAACGGTAAGTGAAATGCCTTTTAAATGCCTTTCCATACAATAGCTCGCAATCAACACAAACACACACTCTGTCCGCAGTCCACAGGAATATCATTGAAATGTTATCCCATTTATAGAAATAGTTATCAAATGTGTGTCCATACGAGTGGTGTGAATGCAGTGGTTGTATGACAACACGAGCACACATTGAGTCACTGATCACCTCATGGATGTGCTGTTTGTGCCACTTTTGCCGCAATTGTGTCCGAAGATAATGACACGAATGCATGACATATATGTGTGGATGAAGTGGTGATTGTGTCTCATATGACAGATAACTGTAATATTGAGACAATTGATGGTTTGGATCAGATATTGAACTCGAATTGATTTGTATGTGTAATGCAATTAGCAATCAATGTATTCATGGATTCAATACATGGAAAGGCATTCAGAATTAATTATTGGGTTTTGACTATAATTTGGGACTTAATGAACGTTTACATGAAATACAAACACAGTTTAAGACTAAATGAATAGCACTTTTTGACTGAATATATTAAAAGATTGATTTAAAATATAAAGTTTAAAATCACTTGAAATGATGGTGTGTTTGGCATTAAACACATTGTATTAAAAGTGTTTGTCTATTAAATACTTGTTTAATAGTTTGAGGCCTTTTAATGCTATTACAGTTAACTCCCATTACAGTGAACTGACAATTGTGTGAATGTTTGCATTGAAATATTTGCATATCTTTTCATAATTAGCGATAAATGTCTGAAGAGGTAGTATTTGTTGACATGTATTGACGATTGTGTGAGAAATTGTTGATATTTTTGGTCATAAAATGCTAAACAAAGTGTGATTGTAGTTGAGAAATGGTTTAATGATATACTTCTCGTTATTATAAAAAGCCTTGAAATACAAATAAGTTTTGTTTTTATGGAAAAAGTCTTAACTTTGAAAAACGCTTTTCCAATGCTTTGCAAATGAAATGTATTTTTATTTCCATTGAATCCAGTATTCGTGAAACTATGTAAGCATTTGAATCCATGTATGAGTCTGTTGTCTGTCTCTCTGCCATTCCCTGCCTTCCCTCTGCTCTCGTGTCTCATCCCAGCAGTCATTAAAGTATTTTCACAAATGAATAACTGATTTATCCATACATTGAGTCGCGTATAGAGTATATGATAGTAATGACAGTGTATTGCATATTCTCTATGTCTATGACACTATCGAAATGATAGCGTTTTTTACTTAGTCTCTCACTATAGCGACTGAATAGTTGAGACAAATATAAATGTTTTGATACAATCTCTCTGTCATTCCAACCCTTATATCAGTTGTAATAATATTTTATCGCAAAATAAATATTAAGTAAATACATGAGAATAACGTTAAAAGCACTTTATTTTTAATAGCAGTTAATTCCTGTTAGACTAAAACACTTTCAGTTGGCATTTGAAACAATAAGACAACAAAATTAATGCAAATAATATGAAACAGTATATAAAAGAGTTTTTTTTTATTTCCCTTTGACTATATTTTTAATATAATTTATTGTTTATTATATTATGATTGCATATGCATTGTAGTGTGCGGCAAATAATGCATTGAAAAAGTTGCATAAAATATACAGAATTGTGTGGTGAGTATAGTCTACTAGTATGTGGTTGTATTGCATTGAATTGTGGGTTGGGTTCGAGCTATGGTTCACTACTAGAGTGCTAGAGTGGCCTCGTTTACTGACTATACCAACCATACACACCATTACATTAGA